AAAAAAAAAACTTAAACCAAAATTAGTTGAGCTTGTCTGGTTCTTTTGGGGGGATCAGAGAGAATAGAAGATGTGGTATGATAATGAGATAAAACTACAGTCCCAAGTAGATTGAACTTTCTAGATTAATTTTGGATTTCAGTTTCCCATATCCTCCCTGGCTCCCAATACCCTAGGTGTTTAGCAATTTGGCCCCTAAAAATAGGTCTTGGGGAATATGGAGGCTAGCATCTGTCTCGTGTCCAAATATGGTTGCTTTGTGTATGACTTTACCACTGTTAGTATTATGGCAGGCTAACTAACCACTCAAACATTTACTAGCTGTTTGGCCTTGGGCAAGACACTCAACCCTGTTTGCCTCAGTTTCCTCATCTATAAAATGAGCTGGAGAAGGAAATGGCAAACCACTCCCAAATGGAATCAGAGTTGCACACTACTGAAACAACTGAACAACAGCAAACTAACCACTAGATGTGTTTGTTGTTCCTTGTCTTTCTGAGGTCAGTAATAGATGACATTTGATACAACTGTATTTAATTGTGGTGATATGTTTTTCTTGTCCCCTTATTTCCCAGGGAGTCCTTTCCAATGATCCTGGTGGCCAACAAAGTTGATCTGATGCACTTGAGGAAAATCACCCGGGAACAAGGAAAAGAAATGGCAACAAAACACAATGTAGGTTGTATGGGTGTGTATGGTTTGGGGGGAGGAGGAGCAGTGTCTAAAAATGTCTAAAGGAAGGAATCAAGGTTGAAATAAATCCTCATCCTTCTTCAATGGTATTGGAGATATGGAGAATTCAGTTTGTGAATAAGAAATGAAACTCCAGACGCCAATTCATCCAATTAAGAAAGAATTAGGAAGGAGAATGATGGGACTTTCTGAAAATGATGATGATAATTAGAATTTATAAAGTGATTTAAGGTTATCAAAATGTTTTACAAATATCTCACTTGATCCTCACAACAAGCCTAGTAAGTAGGTGCTATTATTATCTCCATTTTATAGAAGAAGAAACTAAGGCAAACAGAGGTTAAGAGACTTGCCAGAGTCACACACCTAGTAGGAGGCAGGATTTGAACCCAAGTCTTTCTGATCTAACATAATCATATTGTCTGAAAAAAAAATACTTCTGGCTGGAAGGCTTATAAAGGAACCAGAAAGTGAAGCATTTTAACCTTGCTATATTTCTATTTTCATTTAAAACAATTTAGTTAGGGAAGGTGGGAAAGGTAATTCTTAACCACTCTTCATGCTAACATATGATGTGCAGCCCCCTTCTAGGAGATCTTTTTTAGAATCTAAGTTCTTTGAGAGCAGGAACTGTGTTATTTTTCCGTTTGTAATCCTGGTGCTTAGGGCCATGCTTTGCACATAGTAAGCTCCTGATAAATGCTTTCTCATTCATTTATTCATTCATTCACACAGGTTTTCCTCAGTCAAAACTCAGCCAGCTTTGAATTTACTAATCAAACAACCACACACATTTCTCCATCTTTTCCACAAAAAAAATGTTATCAACAATTCACATGTTTAATATGATTATATATGTATAGCCTATATCAGATTGCATGCCGCCTTGGGGAGGGAAGGAGAAAAAATCTGGAACTCAAAATCTTATAAAAGTGAATGTATGTATGTAATTGGAAAAAATAAAATATTGTTAAGTGGGGGGAAAAAAAGAAATCCCAATTCACAATGCCTACAGATTCATCAGGCCCATTAGCTCCGACAAAAAAAAAGGAAAGGAAATTAATTTGGCATGAAAATGAAAGGATTTGACAGATAATCTGCCAAGTTCCTTTTAGTTAAAAGCCCAATGCTCCATATCCTTAATGTATGGGTTGGCTCATACTGATTCCCTAAGGGCTCACAAATCATCTACTCACAGAATTTTGCACTGAAAACATCAAAGTAGTCACTTTGTTGTAGACCCTTGCTTTTTCACCTTTTTGAAACTCAGGCTACATTTTCTCTCCTGTAGGCCTCTACCATTTATTACTAATAGACAAAGAGTTCAAGGGGCTTCTTTGCAAACGATGGCATTGTCCTGACATGTGATTCATTTGGAGTAGGCAATTTGAACACACCTTGAGAAGCTAAATGTTCTCTGTCTCCTTCACTATCTGGGGTTCAGTTCTTCCATGATTAGTATTTTTTTTTAACTCTTTCTATTTTAGAGAGCATTCCCTTTGAGAGAGAAGACATAGGCAAAATTGGAGCCAAGTAATTTTTCTTTCTCTCTATTAACAGCTAACTTTACTTACTCTACCCCAACAGTAGACCTGTGCTCCAGACATATCTTTAAAAAGCACTTTTTGTCATCCTTAACATTTTCAGGAAGCTTTAAATCATAATAGGCTTTAGCCTTCCTGTCACATTGCCTAAAATCTAAGTATTCATACTTAATTGTGTCACCACCACCCCTTTTATCTTTTCCATATATCCTTTGTAAATCTATACCTATTCGGGTCTGTTTGGATGTATTCCTTCTTTTTTTTTTTTTTTTAACTTCAGAATGAGAGACATTTGTACTTTCAGAATTTTATTATTGAAACTTTTCATTCCGGTTGAACTATCTTCCTAGATTCATGTCTTCTTATCTTTTCTCTAAACTTTTGGAAACTCGATTTCCTAGGTCATCAGCTCAGCCTTTTCTAACTTAGCTACTGTATATTTCAGGGTGGCGTGTTCACGCTATCCTAAGGTTCCCAACATTTCTTATTTCCCAAGTGGTTCTTGCTTGCCCAGAATTAAGCCCATAGTAACATCTATCTCCTTGTTGTTTCCTCAGCCTTTTTATAAGGTGAAATTGTTGGTAAGAAAAATCATGACTTTACTTATATGCCCTGATTTTAGCAGAATTTAATATATGTCAGGTAGTGGAAGTCCACCCCCACCCCATTACTACTCTATCTTGTCCCTGTACCAATTTTGTAACTTATATCATCATCTATATCCTCTATCATGCTGGGTGGTCCATAGTGAACTTACAAAAATGTCACTTCTGTTGCCATCCTGCCTAGTTAAGGAATAAATTTAGATGACTAGTGATTTCATAGTGATATCCAAAATATACATGTGAGGAAAGGAAGGGAGGGAAAGGAATAAGCATTTATAAAGTGCCTACTATGTACCAGGCACTATATGAAACACTTAAAAAAAATTATACCATTTGATCCTCACAACGACCCTGCAAAGTGTTATTATTATTCCCATTTTACAGTTGAGGAAACTGAGGCAAACAGCGCTTAAGAGATTTGCCCAGGGTCATACAGCTAGTAAGTGTCTGAAGCTGAATTTGAACTCCAGATTTTCTGACTACATCACCAACTGTGTCACCAGAGGTGACTTCCTAGCAATTATGCAAATATATACATGCTTATTGAAGTCAGGGAGGGGTGGTGGTGGTGGTAGGTGGGATCAGAACTGTAATTTAATTGATATAGGGAACTCTGAATAGAGAAACAGCCCCTACCAGGTCAACTTGTAGTCTTAGAGAATGACTGGACATGGAGAGGTTAAATGATTTTCCCAGCCAGTACATGACCCACATGAATTTCTAGTTAGCTATTGCTTACTAAAATGCTAAGAATCTCAAAATTAGAAAAATGCTTGATGAATCTGTTTGCATTTTTCATTTTTGTAAAGCAGAGCTTTTGTCTTGCAGATTCCATATATAGAGACCAGTGCTAAGGATCCACCACTAAATGTTGACAAAGCCTTTCATGACCTTGTTAGAGTGATTAGGTAAGTTGTAATGCCTTTCTCTTGGTAAATGCCAATATGCACAAACCTTAAAGCTCCATGTAAATGGTAGCTATTGTTATTACTGTGCCATTAACAAGGGCAGATACCTTTCAGATACCTACAAAACTACCAGGTTTCGCTCCATAAGGCTTCTTGGTTTTGTTTCACATGAGGTTGGTTACAGAATTACTTTCAAATGCTATTAATCTTTAATGTTTGAATGGTATTAGGTTATGTAGGGATGCGTCTCTTAATTGACAATGAAAGGTAAATTAATAACTAAACAGTTTACCATCCATTTGCAGAATCACCATAAAGAATTCAGCAGCATTGAACACTAGAGAATCTACCTTTCAAGATACTTACAAGGAAGCGTATTCTGCATTTCTAATTACTTACCATATTATTCAGATGCTGAACATTTCATTATAACATAAAGCAATCAATATTAGAAGGCAGGCAATCTATTACCTCAATCTTCTGTACCAGGACTAGAGGGGGAGGGAGTGTATGGTAGAAGTAGAAAACCATATGTTAACACTATCTATGTCCTACTGTATTTTTTATTTATCTTGTTAAATATTTCCCAATTGAATTTTAATTTGGTTCTGGCCAGCACTTGGGAGTGTTGCTGGCCATGTGTTTGAGGCCTTTGCTTTAGGGAACTCAAAAACCCTTCAGATTTGACTATAATCTTCCTTTCCAGCCTGATCTCCAGTAACTCCTGTGTATTCCATCCACTCTATCCCCACGTGCTGAACAAAACATCTCTGTGCTTTTCCAATTCCTTACTTTGGCTCATTCCATTATTTTTGCCAGGAATGCTGTTTAATGTCCTCCTTCCCCAAACTACTTTATATTCATTTTATATAGCCTTTATATACTTATATATGCATGTTGTCTCCTCCATTTGAATATAAGCTCCTTGAGGGCAGGGACTGTTTCAATTTTGTCTTTTTGTCTTCAGTGTTTAGTGTAATGCCTGACACATAGGAGTCACTTAATAAATGCCTGTTGATTGAATTAATTGATTGTTCTAACAGTCTGTAGTGGCCACAGAAATCATAAAATAAAATAAAAGTATTTGGAACCATAAAGTTTTGGCTTCCCAACATCAATCTTTTGCCCCCTCCCCCCACCATTTCCTACCTCTTCACTTTTCCTTTCAATCCAATTTAATCTAACAAATATTTACTAAGTGCCTTCTATGTGCAGAGCACCATGCTAGATACTGGGGAACTAGCAGACTAGACATGTGATTTCACTGATGTAGGGAAGGCTCTGGGGAGGAAACTCCCTAATTTATCACTTTATAGAATTGCCTAAGGCACTGAGAGGTTAGGTGACTTGACCAGGATCACAGGGTCAGTAAGTGTCAAAAGCAGGATTTGAACCTAGGTCTTTGTGGCTTGTATCAAGCTCTCTATCCACCACATTTAAATAACTGAAATCTGAGATCTATAAATGGGCTCACATGAAGCCATGTATGTAAAGTGCATTAGAAACCTTAAAGCACTATTTAAATATCAGTTATTTTTTGTAAGATACCATCCCTACTCTTTTATAGCTTATAGTCTAGGGAGGTGGGGGTAACACATATAGAGATGGCTGTGATACACAATATTACATGATCCTTGTTTCAGAAGTACAGAATAAAGTACAATGTAAGGTCTCAAGGGGAAAAGATTATTGTTTGGTAAATTGAGGCAAATCTGGAAAGGGCTTTTTAGGTCCTTCCTAAGATTAGGCATTTTTGCTACTCACCGCCCCTAGTGGTGGTGGGGGGGGAGGGGTAATGAAGTCAGTGCCGGGCTCAGAAGTAGACAGCAAAATCCACCACAGGAAACCACCAAAATAAGTATTATTTATATTTGTAAAAAGATAAATATTTGTAGCCATAGAATTTTAAGCAGTTAGTGGACTTTATAAACTATAATTTTAAAAAGTTGAGCCAGAGCAAAATTCAGAGGAAAAACAAACAAAACTTAAATAAAAGCAAAAGAATTTGTTATAGATGTACCTTGACACGTGCCCTCTCTCACACAGCCCAACAGCTAGTTTTCACAGTCATCTTTCCTTCAACATCATGGTAATATATTCTACCCTTTTCTCTATAGTCTGAATTGCTGTTGCTTTGAAGTATTATATGCAGCACACACATTTTTAACTGCCAGTACATTGTAAATGTAGTGGGGCTGGTGGAGGAAGGACTAGATATGGAGTCAAAAGACCTTGGTTTGAGACCCAGCTCCGCTACTTGTTGCTTGGGTAACTAAGGATAAAGTCACCTAATGTCTCTGGGTCTCTGTTTCCTTGTTTATAAAATAAAGAGGTTGGATTAGATGATCTTTAAGCTTCATTATACATCTAAATCCATGTTTATTAACTGACTGACTGATCCTAATATATAATTCTTACTTTAAGGATACATGATTTCATGCAGTGCATCCATACCACCTGCCCTGATGCTGACCAGATGGTTCATTAGAAAGTCCTGATTTTAGAGACAGAAGAACTGGGATTTGACCTCTGTATACCTTGTTTACCCTGAACAAGTCACTTAACCTCTATTGGCCTCAGTTTCTCCTTTTGTAAAATGAGGCATTTGAACTAGATGATTTCAGCTCTCAGGCTGTTATGATCCAGGTTAAAAGTATTGACACAGACTCAGAGTACCTTGATAAAGGTCACACAGATAGCAACAAAATCAGATCTAAGGGTCTATATTTCCTGATTTTCAGACCAGTACTTTCCCAATACATCATGCTTTCTCAGCTATGCTTACATTTTCAGATTTCAGGAAGGTCTCTAGAAGTATTATGTTTTGGAATAAGCTAACATTTCAGATTTCTTCATCTGTAATATTAACAGATTAGTGTAGAGAGATTCTAAGGCCTCTTCCACCACAAAGAAATATTGTTTGACTAAAAAGGGGAAAAAATTAACCTAAAAATTTTGTGTGAGCTATCTGAGTTTATGTAGCTAGGTGGTGAAGTGGACAGAGCACTAGGCCTGGAGTCAGGAAGACCTGAATTCAAATCTGGCCTCAGACACTTACTAGCTGTGTGATCCTGGACAAGTCACATAACTCCATTTGCCTTAGTTTCCTCATCAGTAAAATGAGGTGGAGAAGAGAATGGCAAACCACTCCAGTATCTTTGCCAAGAAAACTCCAAAAGGGGTCATGAAGAGTCAGACATGACTAAAAAATGACTAAACAATAACAAAATCTGAATTTATATGTATAAAATCCGAGTGAATGTATATGTAGCCATCTCTTTTTCCATCCCTGAATAGAGATGGCTGTTCTATAAATAAAAACAAGTCCATGTAAATTATAAACCCTTTTAATATTTGAGAGACCTTTCTCATGAGGAGGGAAGAAAAATTGTTGCAACCAAAAAAAACCACTTCACTTATGAATTTACACCTTGAATTGTACCCTAAAGATACATCTAAAGATGTTACATTCAGAGAAAAAAATCTCAAAATTATTCTTTTAAGTCATGTTTCTTTCTCCTTTGTTTACCCCTTGACCACTAATTTGGCTTGGCCTGTCAGTTGAATCAATAACAATAAACCAGCTGTGGGCCACAAAATTTCAGTCTGTAACAAGTCACTAAGACAGAGCTCTCAGTATGATCAATCAATTTATTAGGGATATTGGTGGTTCCTAATCAATTGAGTTCAAGGCTGTCCTCATGGTCAGGGACCCTTGTGCTGGAAAAATTGCTGGAAAAAAAAATTAAGGGAATACCAGAAATAGAATGAGGTGGTACAGTTCCATGATTGGTCAGTTTCAGAAGTGGGAATATGTTCTGGTTGGCTAAAGGAAATAAATGTTCATCAATCATAACCACTTTATGAACAGGCCTTTCATAGGTCATTAGCCACAAATCATCAACTGCAGGCCATCAACTTCAGGCCATCTCAGCAGCGACTTTCCACAGGTCATAAGACCCTGTTAACAGCATCTCAGGGCCTTCCACAGGTCATAAGACCCTAGTGTTCGACCAACAGTATCTAGGTTTTGAGGAAGTTGTGGTTTTGAAGCAAAGGTCACTAGGGAGTGGGCAGCAGTGATTCACAGGGCTGAAGAGGCAAATGAACTTTGTTTCAAGCACTATACTAGGAGTTGGGATGGGGATGGGGTGAAGCAGAAATCACATTCTTGTCACAGATCTAACTTAATACAGTATAAATCTAGCTGACAAATCTAATCCAATTAATGTAATCATCAATACATGGTAGATTAATCTTATAACTTACAATAGTTCTTATCCTAATAGCATTAACTAACATAACTAACTCAAACTTAATCCTATTCTGCTTAATGCACTAATACACCCACTGATACTTATCAGATCATAATGAGTAAATGCTGATTAAATTGAGTAGGGGTATCAAAATTATCTTCACACAGGAACTGAGTAACTGAGAACCTCTCTGAGCCTCAAATTTCTTCCTCTGTAAAGTGCACAGACTAGATGTCCTAAGGCTCCTCATGACAGTGGAAAGAGCATTGGTTCTGTAATTATACGACCTGGGGTCCAATCCCACATGTTCCATTTACTACCTTTGTCATTTTGGGCAAGTGACTTAACTTCCCTGTTTCCTAACTGCCCCAGTTTCCTCATCTGTAAAATGGGAGAATTTTTTTTTAAAACAATGTTTTATTTTTTCCCAAATTATATGTAGACCATTTTTAACATTCTTTTTTTTTTAATTTTGAGCTCTAAGTTTTTTTTCTCTCTCCCTCACCTCCTACCTTCTTGAGACAGTAAGCAATTTGATATAGGTTATACATGTGCAATCATGTAAAACATATTTCCATATTGGTCATGTTGTGAAAAAAGACACAGACCCAAAGGGAAAAAAAACACTAAAAACATAAAGAAAGTGAAAAATGGTACTCTTTGATCTGCATTCAGATTCCATTAGTTCTTTCACTGGAGGTGGAAAGCATTTTCCATCATGAGTCCTTTGGAGTTGTCTTGGATCATGGTATCGCTGAGACTAGCCAAGTCGTTCACAGTTGATCATCATAAAATACTGCTGTTACCATGTACAATGTTCTCCTGGTTCAGGTCACTTCACTTTGCATCAGTTCATGTAAGTCTTTCCAAGTTTTCTAAATCCACCTGCTCATCCTTTCTAATAGCACAATAGTGTTCCATTACAATCATAAACCACAACTTGTTCAGCCATTCCCCAATTCATGGGCAACCCTTCAATTTCCAATTCTTTGCAACTACAAAAAAAAATATTTCTGTACAAATATGTTCTTCTCCCATTTAAAAAATCTCTTTGGGATACAGCCCTAGTAGGATATTGCTGGATCAAAGGGTATGAACAGTTTGGTTGTCCTTTGGGCATAGTTTTAAATTGCGCCCCAGAATGGTTAGATCACTTCACAACTCCACCAACAGTGCATTAGTGTCCCAATTTCCCCACGACCTGTCTAACAAATAATCATTTTCCTTTTCTATCATATTAGGCAATCTGACAAGTGTGAGGTGGCACCTCAGAGTTGTTTTAATTTGCATTTCTCTAATCAATAGTGATTTAGAGTATTTTTTCATATGACTATAGATAGTTTTGATTTCTTCAAATGAAAACTACTTGTTTATATGCTTTGATCATATATCAATTTGGGAATTACTTGTATTCTTATAAATTTGACTTCATTCTCTATATATTTGAGAAATGGGGTCTTTATCAGAGGCATTTGCTATAAAAAATTGTCTCCCAGCTTTCTGCTTTCCTTTTAATATTGGTTGTATTGGTTTTGTTTGTGCAAAACCTTTTTAATTTAATATAATCAAAATTCTTCATTTTACATCTAGTAATACTCTCTATCTCTTGTTTGGTCATAAATACTTCTCCTTTCCATACATCTGACAGGTAATCTATTTCTTGCTCTCCTAATTTGCATATGATATTACCCTTTATGTTTAAATCATATACCCATTTTTGACCTCATCTTGGTATATAGTGTAAGATGTTGGTTTATACCTAGTTTCAGCTATACTGTTTTCCAGTTTTCTCAGAAGTTTTTGCCAAATAGTGAGTTTTTGTCCCCAAAGCTGGGGTCTTTGGCTTTATCAAACATTAGATTACTATGGTTATTTACTACTGTGTCTTATATACCTAACCTATTCCACTGATCTACTCTATTTTTTATACAGTACTTAATAGTTTTTATGATTACCACTTTATAATACAGTTTGAGATCTCTTATGGTTACACTACCTTCCTTCACATTTTTTTCATTAATCCCCTTGATATTCTTGACCTTTTGTTCTTCAGATGAATTTTGTTATGATTTTTTTCTAGCTCTATAAAATAATTTTTTAGTAGTTTGATTGGTATGGCACTGAATAAGTAAATTAATTTAGGTAGAATTGTCATTTTCTATTATATTGGCTCAGCCTGCCCATAAGCAATTAATATTTTTCCATTTGTTTAGATCTGAATTTATTTGTGAGAAAAGTAGTTAGTAATTGTGTCCATACAGCTCCTGGGTTTGTCTTGGCAGGTAGACTCCCAAGTATTGTATATTGTCTGCAGTTGTCGTAAAAAGAAATTCTCTTTCTATCTCTTGCTGCTGGACTTAGTTGGTCACATATAAAAATGCTAATGATTTATGTAGGTTGATTTTATAAATAAAATAGGTCTGAGGTCCTTTCCAATTCTAGATCTATAATCCTCTAACCATGAAAGGGCCTTGGGCAAGTCACCTTACATTTTTGTGCTCTCATAAAATGCATTGGAATCAACAGTATTGAAAATCTGTTCCAGTGCTTATATTTCGGGAGTGTGTAATTCTAAGATTTTCCCTAGTAGTTATGTAAAAATGATGCCTCAAATGGCAAGGAACATCGGTGTCATGAATGAATAATGAAAGGATCTCTTATAGGAGATGATTTTTTTCCCCTTTTTAATTAAATCCTTCTTTGTTGCCAGTCTGATTTTTTTTTTAAGTCTAATTTCTAGTATTAGTTAAATATCCACAAATTTTATTAGGACATGCTCCTTTTCTGGCAAACATTTAGGCATCTCTCCCCATAGACAGACACACTTCTCCTAATTGTACTTAAATGCTAACTGCTCTTAATTAACTAATTAATTAATTAACTAGCTAATCTAAAATACTACTAAGAGTGACTAGGGGGTTTAGTGGGTAGAGCACTGGACTTGAAGTTAGGAAAAGCTGAGTCTGAATCCTGCCTCAGATATCAGATATGTAATCCTGGACATAGCCAGTATATGTGAGAAGCCAGATTTGCACTCAGGTATTCCTGATTTCTTTCAGGCCAGTTCTCTATCATTACTATCCATCAGAAAGTGATTGTTCAGTTATTTTTCAATCGTGTCCTATTCTTTGTGACCTCATTTGGGGTTTTCTTGGCAAAGATACTGGAATGGTTTGCCATTTCCTTCTCCAGCTCATTTTACAATGAGGAAACTGAGGCCAACAAGGTTAAGTGACTTGCCCAGGGTCACGCAAGTGTGTCTGAGGCCAGATTTGAACTCAGAAAGATGACTCCAAGACAAGTGCTCTATCCACTGCACCTACCACCTCACTGCTCTATGATCCATCAGACAAGCCAACTCTTGTTCATTTCCTTCTTCTCTTTCTATTTCTGCAGGCAACAGATTCCAGAGAAAAGCCAGAAGAAAAAGAAGAAAACCAAATGGCGTGGGGACCGGGCCACAGGTGCTCACAAACTCCAGTGTGTGATATTGTGACAGGGCCTCAGAGCCTCTTTGCTGCTGTGAATGTGAACTAGAGAGACCCGGTGATGCACTCAACTGCCTAACTGCACTGACAGCTGCTTCTAACAGTGAACCTTGGCCAGAGATCTTGGCATGTTAAGGAAAAAGAAGAGGAGGGTGGGGGGGGGTAGGGTGGGGAAGGAAGGAAGGAGGGCAGGGAAAGTGGAGGAAGAGAACCTGCCCTTTGAGGAATACTTGAACTGTGGCCAGTTTCTTCTGGAGGGAATAGGTGGGGAAAGAGGAGGATTTGGTCTGGTTTTGCTAAAAGAGTGACAAGCTTTCAAGGTCATTCACAGGATAAGTGGAAATAGCAGGTAAACAAAAGCAGCATCTAAGCCCCTTACATGTCGATACAATCAAGTCCCCCTTTTCCTCCTTCCCTCCCTCTGTTAGTGGGTATTTTCTTTTTTTTAAAAAAAAAAACTAAATTGTGTCATTTTGATGTGGACTTGTTTATCCACTCAAAAGTATGAAGTATAACAGTTTATGAACTGGCTCCTTTTTTCTTCCAGACCCAGTAACTCAATGGTTCTAAACATTGGATTTTTTCTTTTTGGTGTCTTCAAAATTATTATTTTATTAAGGGAGCCAATGCCCACTGCCTAATGAAATCTTTGGCACTCATCAGACTTATATAATTCTGTGTCTGGAATATTTTTTTAAACTGAGTTCTCCTAGCAGTGCCAAAACTAAATATAACATGAAATTATGGTGGTTTGGAGATTGGAAATGAAACCTGGCTGTTGCTGGGGATTCCAAGCATTGTGTCAAACCTTGGAGGGGAGCCAACTCCACAATCCATAAACTGGAGAAAATATGATTCTTTTAGGAGAGTTTTCTCCATTTGAGAATACAGAGGATGAGAAAGAGAGTTGTTTTTTGAAAAGGGCAGAGGGTGGCATGTGCATGCCAAATTTAAACAGCATTTTCACTAAACCTGGAAATGCTTACTGTCAGAGATAAGATTATTGACTGTTTAAGAGATGTATTAATTTATTTTTAGGGCAATAAATGCTAGGTTCAGGATATTCCCCAGGCATGTGAAAGTGGCCCTTAGTTTCTTGGACTTCTGAAACCCATCTCATATGTTTCCTCATGCTTTCCTTTCATTGTCTGTTACTGACTGGAACCGCATCAATTTAAACATCCTAACCACATCTCTCCTCAAAGGAGAGGCAGCATGTCATAGTGGATAGAGAGCTTGCCTGAAAGCCAGGATGACCTGGGTTGAAGACCTGCCTCTGACACATACTGGCTATGTGACCCTAGGCAAGTCACTTCACTTCTTCAGTGCTCTAGGTAACTCTCTAAGACTCTAAATTGTGGAGAAGTTGCCAGCCTGCATTGGTAGAGTTGCCTTACCTGGGATTTCCCTATACCAATGAAAAAACAGGTCCAGGTTCTCTCCCATATCTATCTCTCTTCAAAAATGATACATGAATCTACACTTAGCAATTTGTTTTCTGTTATACATAAATGTCTATGTATAGGCTGGCTAATGGGGACATCCTCCAGAGAGTTCTGCCTAATGTGAAATCTTGGAAGAACAAACAAATGTGCAACACTTAATTAAAATAACATTGTTAAAGACCAGCAAATTTATTCCCTTAAGGCCAGTGTATGCTGTCAGATAAGTACAAAACCTGCTTGGTTCTTCATAGATTTTAGCATCAGTTAGACTTTCTTGGCTGATGTTTGTATTAACCTCCTAGACTATGACATATACCATCAGAGCAAAAATGACCATATAACTAGTGATGTGGCTATTATTGACACATTCCTAGAGGGAGTACATTCAAAGCACTCTAAAATAATGTCCAATTTCCACATAGCCACTTCTAATAAAGGCTGGGTAATGGTTTTATCCAATATGGGGAAAGGAAGGAGAAGGAAAGTCTAATCTAAATGGGGTAAGAAATGGTAGAGTGAATTGGAGGGCTATAGTTCTCCTTGAAGAGAGCAACACAAGATGAAGTCAGTTGTTTTTTGTCCCAAACGTTTAAAATCAGGTTGTGTAGGAACTAGATAGTCCCAAGTGGGTAGCCTGGCTATTCTTTGGAGAAAAAGAACTAGGGAGAGGGAACACTAGACTGGAAGTACTAGACTAGAAGTCAGGAGACCTCCATTCTGTTTTTCATCTTGTTCATATGAACTAACTCAACCCAATCACCAGCACCTAGGGACCTAGCTTAATTCTGCCACCTAAAGAATCAGATGTGAGTAAAACTTCATTTCAATGGTCCCTATTTCTGAAATCTAAAAGGATCACAGAGAGCATTATACTTAGTAGTTTTTCATTTTTCTTTAACATTATGACCTTTTAAAAAAAAATTAGATAAAAAAGGTGCTTTTCAAAACCGTGAGCCCCTTGGCTCCAAATACAATACAAGAACCCCTCTGGGTTTCCATGATAGAAAGAGATGAAATTGAAGACAATAGAATGACTTATGATGAGGAAAAGATTTGGAATGGAGAAAGAAAAGTTGTACAGAAGTGAGAGTGAGTGAGATATGTAACAGAAATAGAAAGAGCTGTAGGATCTGATGAGAGTCACTTGTACACAGATAATACCCAGGATAGGACTCTGCTATCAACCAGCAGCTTTGAGCAGAAATGATGATGTGGAATGTTTGTCAAGGTGCCAAGAATGAAATTTGTTGAGGAAAGGGAATAATTGCTCACATTTCCTGTTTAATGCTGGTGCTCTGAAAAGGTACGGAGACAGGAGGTGAAGAAGGCATTCCAACATTCCTAGTGGCAAATATGGGTACGCCCAGAGTCACAGTCTACTTCTTTCAGTTTCCATACTCTGGACTCCTAATACAACTTAAACCCTCATTGCCTGAGACAGAAATTGAATAAAAGAGTTTGTGTTGATGAACTGACTCACTTTACGGCCTCTTCATTTGCTCCAATACAGAATATACTGTGAGCTTGCACCTCCCTTTGCCTCACTTTCACCCATCTGTGAAATGAGTAAATAACACCTTAAGGGATTCATTCTGCTCTGGAGACAATGCAGTGCCTTATTGAAAAGAAGTAGCTACTTGGAGCAAAAAAAAAAAAAAAAAAATAGGACAGAAGGATAACATCCTATCACTTTTATCTTAGTATTTCTTCAACTTACCATAAGGACAAAGTGATGATACTGTTAGTATTGATTTTTTTTTTAATCTGGCAAGGTAATCCTTGACTAAGTATGCCATTTTGACTTTTATTTCTATGTTGGTCCCCTGATAGCTTCCCCTTGGCACCTAAGAACCCCTCTGGGTTTCCAAACATCCTGTAGAGCAGACTTCAGCACCATTGACAGCTCCTTCCTTTAAGCTGGCTAATGTGGCCCATTCATTGCTTAGCTTATGTTTCTCCTCCCACCTCTGGGACTACTCCTTTAATAGCTCTTCTCTGCCATCCTTTAATTGTGGGAATCCTCTGAGACATAGTCGTTAGCCTTCTCTCTATAAACTCAGTCACTTCCTCAGGGAATCATCCCTTCTCATGATCTCAATGATCAGGCTCTAGGTGAATGATTTCCAGAACTTTGTTCTCCATCTTTTTTTTTTTTTTTTGTCCTCCCATTCAGAATGTCCAATACAGCTGGGATGCAATACTGCACTTTGCCAGTAGGTGCTCCCATCTAACACATGATATACTCTAGCCTGAAAAAAATCCCTTGAGTTTGAATCTTCAGATTAATTGTAACAAAGACGTTTCCCATTTTATCCATTCTATAAGTTTAAATTCTGTATATCAAGTTTACTTAGGATGAAGGATACTTGAATTATAGAAATAGAGTTCAATCCCATTTTTATGTAATACATTATTAATGAAAATGCCAGTTTTATGAAATGAACATGACTGCTAAAGAACATTTGAATGATGCTTGAGCCTTTTATGTAATTTTTTATTACGTTTTTGTGTATTCTGATTCATTAATAAAGGAAAAAGGAGGCACATTGATATGGTTTTTCTCTCTTCATTCTTCAAATAGAATCTCATTTTCATCAAATTTCTTAGGGTAATATTCCAATGTTCCTTTCATTAAAACAACAACAACAACTTTTTAAAATGACTCCATTAGCAGGGTGTTATTGTATATTAAAGAGTTCATATCCTTACTCAATTACTATGTTTTGCAGGGCCCTGTCATCTTTAGCAATAATCCCTTTCAGCTATAAATGTAAAGACTTAGGAAACATTTGAATCATAGCCTACAGGAGAAAGTGTGCCCATTAATCATAGACAGAAGATCAAAAAAGGAGCCAGCTTTCTCCTAGGATCTCTATAAAGCTATCCCACATATTCCTGCCTCGTAGCAGAAAATTTTTACATTCCCCTTCCTTTCCTCCATTCTCCCAATACACAAACCCATTCTGTCCTCAATAATTAACCCCTCTACAATGTCCACTATTTGTTTCCTCTAGCTATTCCAGGAGCCAGGAACATTATAAAATTCTTTCAGTTACACCACTGACATCTGAGAAAAAAACCCATATATTTCAAAGACTTCCAGTCCCAGAGCTACTTCCCACTCCTCTCACATAGACATTTGGCCGACTCTCTGCAATAAACTGATTAAATGCCTTCATATTCCATTCATTTTAATACCACTTTGCAAAGTACTTTGCAAATGATGTTGCACTGAACATAACTCACTGCAAGGAACTATAGCTCTGAGTCAGCAACACATGCTGCTACCATTAGTCTTTATCATAAGAGCATAGCCATTGTAAGTTCCTATCCTTCCTGCAGCATTAGAAATATGTGAATAGACCTTCTGCACCACCCCAGGAATTGAAGCTCCTCCCCAGGCAATACTTAGAAACTTTTTTAGTAGTAAATCACCAGCATCAACTGGAAAGACTCATTTTGCATCCTTTTCTAACACTAGAAGCCTCTGGAGTGCTTTTTACCATAGACAAAAGGATTTCTTATGATACAAGTCATTGCTAGGTGCTAGGTCAGTGCTAGGCCACCACTACCCTGTATGTTTTCTCCCCCTATAAGAAAGTTCCTTGAGGGCAGGATGTTGAAACATAAGTTCACAGATTTAGAACTAGAAGGGACATCAGGACAATTGAGTTCAAACCTCTCATTTTATAGCTGAACAGA